TCAGAGCTACGTAGGTGAGAAACGCCCCATAACTCTCACACACGGGACACTCTTTGCCAGGATAGACAAGGTCCAACCGTCCGCTAGCTGCATTTCGCTCACCGCTCTCTATACAAGGCTGGGACTCAGGCCCCAGGACCTTTCTTTTCCTTTGTTTGTTCATTGCGTACAGATTAGCGGGGCCCCCGAGCTACAAACCCTAGAGAGCCCCGGTTTATCTTCGGAGTTCCCTTCTCCTAGGTGGGTCCTTAGTAACACCTTTCGATGCCCCAGCAACGCTACGGGGAAGCGTCCTACCCGGTACCCACTTTACCCCAAAACGATGGATCTGTCAGTCCAACATAATAGGCATTCAAGATATTAACAAATATTCAATACATTTTGTTCAAGAGTAGTCAATAACAAAATCAAATAAATAAGCCTACAAGATAGTAACATTCAACAACGTTTCTCTACAAATACGAAGTAGAAACAATTTCACAGGTATTTAGTTATTCGTTCCGGAAGTGCAGTGGGCGGAACAGCCATAACAAGAGAGCCACATAGTTATTCCCGCCATGTACTCCTGTTTTCACAGTCCTTTGATTCCGGAGTGACAGGCAGCTCGGTGACCAATGATTGTCGCCGTGTAGGTTGCCTAAGTCATAGTTTGCTATAGTCGGCATGATTAACTTGCCAGGCGGGTGAATCTCATTAGTTGGACAACACATTGAAACTTCATTGGCCCGCCTTTCAATGGATGACTGATACTGCATCCAAAGACTGTTAAACGTCCCAACTTGCTCAAGTAGCTCAAGTAAGTAACGCGGTCATCTGCCAGTTGCGCCGAATCGGCCAGACTTCTCCCTCCAAAACGGCCCATTCCGTAATCCATCTGGGACTACCGCTGAGCACGAGCCGCATTTTTTTTAAGAGTGATTACGGTCTCTTGTATTGAGACTGGATTAGGCATATTGATGGCGAAGGTGTCGTTTTCTTCCAAGGGAGTATCATCTTCTATCGGATCTTTCTAGAATGTTTTACTAATGTGACTGAATAGATCAAGGTTGGATGGTAGGTTATTAGCATCTTGGGGCTTATTAAGAATCTGATTCAGTGCCCGTTTCGAATCTCAGTGGTACAGCTTGGTCAGATATCTATATTCCTCTGATTTCTTTTTCTTCCTTTCGACATCATTCCAACATTCCTGATACTGTCCGGCAAGTTTTCGACCTTTCATCGGATGTACTTGCCTATGAGTTAAGGCCATAAATCCTTCGTATTGTTGAGCAACTGTGATTTCACCTCGGAGAACTGCTTTCGAGATCGTTCTAATGTCTGGTCTGCATTTTCTTCCAAGGTCGATTCAAAAAGCGGAAGCTGGCTAATCACGATTGGTTCATGATTAAGTTTAACGGATGGTTCTATTGAAGCACAGTCCCAAATAAATCTGAAGGGTCATCGCACTCCGCATTTCTTCTAAAATTTCCTTATATTGCATCAGTTGTCGACGTTTCTTGATTGCCTCAATGAATCGATGTTTCGCTCCCTGTGCTAGTAATTCACTGATGTTACGAGCTGAGGGGTCAAGCTGCAGCTCCAATCTTGCTATCAGACGCATTTCATCAATAGACCATCGCCGTTTTCTTGGTATATGATGTTCCTTCGGATGTACGAGACGCTTGAGTTGTCCCAAGTCTGTTAGTCCGAAAGTTTCTATCATACAACGGGCATTTATAATACATGATAGATTTCGCAGGTACCAGTTCTGTCCCTGTAGAAGTATTGCCATCACTGACTATTTTTAGATCATGATGGATGCTGTTTGCGTTGTCACAGCTGCTGACAGCACTGCCAGTATGTTCTGTACATGTACATTATTCAAATTAGGTCGTCATGAAGATTGCGCGCGTAAAACGAATCACCGGGAGGCGGATCTATTTTCTTTAAATTTGCATAATGGGAATCAGTCTGCTGCAAGTTCAGTCGGACAATCGATTGATCAAAAGAGCGACCGCAACTGCTATCAAGACCGATACTAACCAAATCAGTACTGCAGTTCCACAGTTTATCGCCATTCAAAATTTCGGCTTCCGCGGAATGTAGGTAATCACCCTGCGATGCCATTCGATCAATACCGACGCCAACTGGTATCAGCGACAAAATGAGAGCGGTTAAAACTGGAAATTTGCATATCTTCATAGTGCCAAAACGTTTTTCGACGGCAGAATCGATAACCAGCACAAACAGCGTTAATCGTGTGAACGTCACGGAAGCAACGGCAGAAATGCAAAATCAATCGATACAAAATCATGCTGAGAAAATAAACGCTTAGCAACGAAAGTAAAACGACGATGTAATTTCATACCACAAACTCTGCAAATCTTCTCCTGGTAAATGACATCCAATCGATCCGTTCTTCGGCAAGACTTACATCGGGCGTACATGTGGGAAATTTCCAAGTGGATTAAATCTGCATTTCTGGGTTCCATGAAACTCTCGGGGCGAGAGAGAGCTGGTTTCGAACGGGTCGAGTGAATCAGGACAACCGGCCCTAGTGGGAGTTGGCATACGAGGTATATCCCGAGCGCCAATTATAAGGCCTGCCACACGCGGAACATGTCCCGAAAGTAACGAACAAAGCAGTTCGACCGGAGCGCGTGAGCAACCGACCGTCCGCAGCGACGCCACTTTAAACAATCACAGTTACTCCCGGCGTTCACCCGCGCGTCATTGCATATTTCTTCACTTTGACCTTCAGGGCACTGGGCAGAGATGACATTTTGTCAACACCGGTCGACCGCCATCACAATGCTTTGTTTCGATTAAACAGTCAGAATCCACTTGTCCGTGCCAGTTCTAAGTTAACCTTTCAACGCCGAAAGAAATGCTCAACACTTTCCTGTCGAGCCGACAGCTGGAACGGTCCACGCACGCATCGGCCGCGCGTTCCAATCGATCTCTGAGATCCCAACTTGCGCCAGAACCCTCGATCAAATCGGCGACACGTTCACATGTTGCGGATCTGATTTGCCGACTTCCCTTACCTACATTATTCAATCGACTAGAGGC